GTTCTTCACCCAGAGAGTTGTTGGATACTGGAACAGGCTCCCCATGGAAGTTGTCACAGCACCAAACCTGACAGAGTTCAAAAAGCATTTGGATGGTTCTCTCAGGTACATGGTGTGACTCTTGGAGCTGGTTCTGTGCAGGGTCAGGAGTTGGACTCAATGATCCTTATGGATCCCTTCCAACTCAGCATATTCTATGATTCTGTGAAACTGGGAAGCAGGTGTCCCATTGTGATTAAACAAGTTTGTTAAAAATCATTTTGTTAAAGCTGACTGCTGGTTTTTTTTAGCCCAAATTTCTAATAAGCCTGAGTAATTTCTTTGAATGGAAAAAAATATTCATTGAGAGTTGGAAATTGGTAAATCCCTCAATATTGCAAGGCTCAGATTGGATGTTTTCTCTTTAGAAGCTTATTTGTAGGCTTTTCTAAGTGCATATAAGCAAAAGATATGCAAAAACACATACACGAGGTAATGATTAACTAATTCAGCAAACATATTGATAAAACAGCAGGTCAACTCTCAGATCTCTTGGGTTGACTGTTGGTCAATTAGTTCTTACATATAACCAAGTTGAAATACATTATTCTATTTGCTTAAGTGACAAGAGAGAAAAGAAAAGTCTATATTGCTCTTTGCTGGAGAAAACTACATTTATCAAATAGTTTCCACTTTTGTTTTATAACTTTATGAAATATACAATTATTTCTGAGGTTTTTGCCTAACCTCTCCATACTTTCAAATCTGTATATGCTGGCTTGTAAACCTACTGTTTGTAAGACACTTCATGTATAAATGACTCCATACTTTTATAGAATACAATGTCAAAAATTACTACCTAAGAAATGCATACTAAGAAATAGAAATAGTTTGGAAAATGAAGAGAAAGTCTGCAGGTGACATGTGAGCTCAGTTTTCAGTCTGATGAAGTTCTGTTGTATATATAAGGAACAATTCTGTCTCCAGAAATAGTTCCACATCTCTAAAATGAATAACCTTTGAGGCTGAATGAAAAGCAGAGCATCTTTATGAGTGCATATGATTTTAGCCAACAAAAATGGGTCATGGGAGTTATTTTTCTATCATACTAAAATTGATATTTTAATTCAGAATTATTAGAATGAAAATAAGCTTTACTATTCTCTGTCATCTTACAACGTAGCTCAAAATTTTAATAGCTGTGAATCAGCTGTGATTCTTATTATTTCAAAGGTAAGATCTATCTAGACCACAAAATAAAAGATAAGAAATAAAGGAAGAAAAAGTATGAAATAGATCAAAGTTGGAGAGAAGAAGAAAATGTACTTTGATTAATTGAAAGGTTAATTACTGAAAGACTTCCTCCACACAGCATACTGTTAATTAGAAAGTCTGAGTAATGTGTGATTTCATTTAACACCATTCAAAAGGCCAACATGACATAGTAAACTGCTTGATTCTTCTTGTGTTTATGAAACATATGACTCGGTGTTTCATTTTACTCTGAAGTAAAAGAAAGCTCCTTTTCCTTTTCCCTTTTTTTTTTAATAGACAGAAGACAAGATTAAAAAATGAGAGTTTGGTTAAAAAATGTGAGTTTGGTAGAGATCAGACCAATTTGACACCAAGGGCTGTGTTCTCACCCACTGGGTACATAATAAAACTGTGCTGTACGATAGGGTTTCTGGAATATTTTGTTGTCTTCTACAAAGTAGTAAGTCTCCTTAAAACTTACATTTCTTTTCCAACATTTCAAGAAAATGTTGTTCTCATAAGAATGGAAAATATAGTGTTAAAAGTGTTCTACAACAATTGGCCTTCCAGAATAGAATGCCAGACTGTCCTGTCTCGCCAGAAACTTCTCACTCTTCATAACTCTTGGAAATACTTTCAGCAAACCATCAGCAGCACACATAGGAAGTGTGTGACAACAACAATGTGCATGGACCCCAGAAACCACAGCAGCTTTAGAACCTCCTAGGTGTACCTCAGGGACTGAAGGACTGTCAAATTTGTGATTTACAAGGAGCTATAGAAATGGACAGAAAGGACACAATATTAGATAGTGAATTTGATGGAGTGTGGGACTGGAAGATGATGAGATTTGAGTCTTCATTGTTGGTGGAAGTATAAATTTAACAAGGAATTTTGATGGGAAATACTTTTTATAGACTAATCAAAAAAACAAACTGGAATTACCAAAGTATTATCGGGTCTGGAAAAGGCATAAAACCAAGAATTAATTCCTGTGTCACTGTTTCCCCCACTTTTAGCTACGAAGTAGTACCTTGAAGCTGGCTGACAGCACCATGAACAGAAAGAGCAATGCTTTCAACCATCAGGAAAGAATTAATTCTTTGGTTTAGTCATCTAAGCATTAGTCATGTAATCTATGCTGCTTGCAAAGGTGCTCATTATAAAGCAATTAAACATATGCTAAGATAGCTGTTTAAAAACTGTGCTCTGAATAGGCAGATTGTGTCTTTCCATTTATTCCACTTTTTTAAGAGTAAATTTAGGTAGGATAACTCCTGTCTTTAGATTGTGATGTAGTTTTTTGAGAGTTCTAGACAAGCAGAACCATTTTCTCCAAATTTTATTTTAAGCAGATTGATAGAATCCCATGACAGGAGTAAGCAAAAGAACATGGAAATAACAACTACGTGGCAAGCAGCATGAGTCAAGTAGGAGAAAAAATGCAAAATCTTCTTAGTGCTATATGGTTAATTTTTCAAGGACATAAAAATCCACAGTGTCATAGACTACTAATAGAGACAGCTTGTTGTTCTTCATGGACTTTTAACTTGACCTGTTCTTATGTAATTACTTTTATTTTTCATTGCTGAGTCAGGAGACCTATTCCTATTTTTGTTGCTATATGGATAATTCATTAAAACCTATGCTGCACAGGTTAACATTAATTTGAAAAAAAAAGCCTGCCTCTTTGGCCCAAGAGTTGCTTCTATTTAACTAAACCATGTTAAAGCTAACTAAAGAAGAAATAAATGAAGAAGTACAAGGTAGTGAAACAAGCAAGAGAAAACAAAATATCTGTCAACCAAAAAAAAAAGTCCACTCAGTCCTCCAGTCTTTGAGACAGAAGTTTTGACAAAATTTAGTTTAATATAAGCAAGCCCCAAAAGCATAGCCAAAAAAAAGTATTTGAAAGGAAGAGGGAATGATCACTTCCCATTCTCTTTCAATCTAACAGGGTCCAGTCAAAAACTAGAAGTCTCTTAAAAGCTTCTCCTGTAACATACATTGTAACCACCACAGCAACTAACTGGTTAATTATAATTTCCCTGTTGTGGTAGAAGATTACAAATGAAGCTTCCTTCTAGCTCCATGTGTTCTGCAGAGTAATGTGATAGTAGGAGAAATACAAGGAAATGGCATACTGGCAATCAGTTCTGCTTTTGACAACAAAACTACTGAAAAATGTATAAAGCTGTTAAATAAACTCAGACATTAAATAAAAAATTTAGGCTCTTTCTGTGTTCTGAAAAATGACATATTTTAATCAGAACAGACATAGTATTTTTTACAGTACATCATTTATGATGGAGTTCATACAAAAGAAATAGGATAGACTGAGACAGACATATCTAATTTCTGAAGCTTTCATCACTAATATTTTATCACCCTCACCGATCTGCCCAATCTTGAAGAAAAATGTGACACAACTATAGAATTTATCTGCATCAAACAGGAGGTAAAATGCAAACTACAATAGAGATGTCAAAGCAAAGTATCGACTTTGCTCACTGTTAGCTGAAACAGTGCATGGAGTGTTTTATTTGAACAGTAGAAACAAATTAGCATACACAACTATAATGGTATGTCCATTAAGAGAAAAATATGATTAATGTTATTTGTAGGAAGGTATTTTTTTATATCCCTTTTATACTGTCATTCCATTAACATCCATTTGCTTTGATGAAGATTACTGTAGGAATTTTTTCAAGTTTAACATATCAAGATTTTTGATTTATCAATATTAGAAAAAATATAAAAAGAAAATTATTCTTTTTCTACACTCACCGATGAATCCCAATAATGCATCAAGGAGCATTTGCTATGGTAAAGACACTTGAGGAGACCATAGAGTTCAAATAGTTTGGTAGGTGAATCTGCTTATATTAGTGAAATGGGAAAATATAAGAATAGAATCACTGTACTGTGATCTGTAGTAACTCTATCAGTTATGTTGAGGTACAGTAGGAATAACACATTTGCCTATGGAAAAGGGGAAACAATGAATTTACATAGAAAAAAATATGAACTATGATTCCATTAATACATGTCAGCTATACAAGGCTGACCATGAATAACCCTTTGATGGTAATATAGTGTTATATGAGATTTAAAGACCACCTCAACAATCCCTGAGTGAAGTTCCTTGTTCGTTCTGCCTAGGCTGTGTTTGATTCGGGTCACAAGGACATAGCCATATAATTTGCAGACAGCCCAGAGCAAACAGTGGTGCAACTCCTTATCAGACCAAATGAGACTGTGGTTTGTGATACACCTCTCTCTACCCTGTCACTTACATAAGAGAAAATCAACTTCATTGTCATCCCTTTTTAGCACAGTATGTTGGTGTGATATGGAGCAGCTCCTGAAAATCTAGTCCAAAGACATTGGTTCTCCAGGATGCTTATCTGGATATACTGCGCTTGAGACAGCAGCTGACTCTTTATACCTTTTCTGTCTTACAGTCACTGCATTTTCACAGTAAGATAGCAGTGTTAGTTGGAGGGGTTGTCAATGGAGTTCATACAGGTCTGTTCCTACTCGGAATGGGGCTATAACCAACACTAGAAGAGGTCAGCTGTGGTTTTGTCCAGCCAAGGTTTGAAAATCTCCAAGAGTATTTCACTGCCCTTCTAGCAGATTTTTCTTGCCCAAGTGTCTAATCTGAAACTCTCAAACTTTAATCTTTGACATCAGTAGAGAACTAAAGCTACCATTATGTTACCTGATATTAAATATGGAAAGAAAAAAATAATCAAAACACTTACAACATTTCATTTGTGCCACCAGACGTAGGAACTGAAAACTTTCAGTGCAATATCATCTCACAACAGCTCATAAGAAAGACATGGAAACTCTCCTAGTAGAATGTCTTACTATTTGGATATCCAAGTCAGAAACTGAAAGAGAAGAAATAAAAATATTCTTTTTAAATCTCATCAACTTTATAAGGGACAACTGCGATAACTACTACCATTTTAGTTCAATGGGAAAGATATTCTATTATCTATAATACAATTAAAATTCAAATGGTATTCAGCCTGTATTTTAGAATCTGATAATTAATACTCAGTATTACTAAGATTCAAGTAAACCCACATCCTTATATCACACCCTCAACAGTAGTTTAAAATTCATATCTGGAAAGAAATAAGTGCAAAGAAGAAGGTGGAAGGCAAATCACAGTCAGAAGTGTGCTATACCTTACTTGAATGAATATAACCAGACGATAATACGATTGTGAATCTCCAATGAATCAGTAATATTTTCATCAAAGTAAATCAGATGATCCTAATTCTGAAAGCATTATTAAACAACTATAAAAAGGGGAATATGAGAACATATTTCTTACTGACCTAGCAGCTGTTCTATGACCTGCAGAGGGGAGGGGAGGGGTGGGGAGGGGCAGGAAGGGAAGGGAAGGGAAGGGACGTGAGCCAACAGGTTCATGTTGCTCAGGTTCAGTCAGCTGTAGTTAGAGCTGGGGAAAAGACCCAATGTCTTTGACAAACTGTTAACTTCTTAATCTGGGACAATGTTACCACATACAGTTTTCTACTCATTAACGCCACTATACATCTGCTGTTAAAATGAAACAAGAATGTTTTTCCTATGCTGAAATGAGAAATTATAGTCTCACTTAAAATTATAGTTTTAGAACTTCCCAGTATTGGAACAAATTCAGCATAGGAATGCAGTACTAAGATAAATGGTTGTCTGTCCTTTGCCATTAAATCCTTGGTGATGTTACCTGTTAAATACAAAATTTGAATTGACAGATAGATTGTTTCTGTGATTCCTCCACATACTAAAGTACCCTTTGGTCTTCAGAACAAAATGAAGTCTGAGTAGACAGCATAAAACCTACTTAAAAATAGCAAAGAAAATTGCCAAAATGATAAATTGTTTTATTATTGTAGACATAGATTTTGGTCAATAGTATATTTGCTTATACTGTGGGGAACTTTACACAGCTATAAAAAGAGAGCTGTTAAATTATAGAGGATGATGATGATGATGATGATGATGATGATGATGATGATGACAACAATAATAATAATACAAAAGGGAGCATGTTGAGTTGTCAAGAGGAAAAAAAATCAGAGCATAATTTGGAAAAGCAGAATTTGTGTCTAAATTACATGCATTCTCAGGCTCCTAGCAATGAAAATCATCTCAGCACTAAGCATTATAGGGAGTAAAGATTCTTACAGTGTCAGCTAGCCTTATCTCCAGCAGTTTATCATGAGGCTGTACATGTGCATATGAGGAAAAAATGGGGGGAAAATATGAAAAAAACCACCAAATGTGAAGAAGTTTTACTCTGGTCACTGAAAAATAATTAATGTATAATTTAACACTGATGTCTGACGTTTATATATTGCACTGTTTCCACTATATGACAGTAATATTCTCCTAGTTCCTGACACGTCTCAGAAAAAAGTGACTTCTTACTAAGGAGTTTCTGCTTCTGATAGAAGTAAAGGAACAACATGAACCAAACTAACAAAAGGGTGGATTGGTCAAAATTATACTACCCTTTTTTTTTGGAGAAGACTGAGAGAAAGATTGTGGAAATTGCCACAGATCCACTGAAATCACCTTTATCTGCCATCTCAGAAATTGTTCTTCAGTTTAAGTTTCCCTCCCCCAGATTCATTTTTCATATCAATGGACAAAGAAAAGGAAGGTAAAGTACAAGTGCTGTTTCTCAATTTCTCTGATCAGATTTTGATGTGTATAAGCTACTGAAAATAGTGAATCAGAATCATACATGGAAATTATTCTTAAGTGATTTTTTAAAATGGCTTAGATTTTCATACATTGCCTATTAATAATATATTGTCCCCATATTCCTTTGTGCTAAGAGTAGTATCTTACAATTGACAGATTATGGTGTTCTAGGACTGTACTGGAAGGGAGTTCACACCAATGTTCTCTATAATCTTTAAAATAATTATAAAGGATATTTTTCTTTTTCAAGTAGTCCTCATGGATGATAGGCGAGCCTGTCCCTGTGGCACATTTTTCCAGTGCTTATTCTTTAATACCTTGAAACCTAGTAAGAGCCTTTCACATGGCAAACATCTCCTTTAGTCGTCTGCCAGAAACGAATGCTGGCAGCTGCTCTGAAGCCCATTCATTGAACCTGTAGCATTTCTAGAGCAAAGCTCTCTTTAATGTGAGGGACACTGTGCCAAGTCAACCTGTTTTTGTACTATGCAGTCACAGCTCTTGTTTCCCGATGTGAATCTCCAGGGCTTCCTAAGGACTTAAGGAAAGAAAGCAGAGAATGGAAATGGACTGTTTTTACATAGATTCATCTCTTTTAGTAAAGGCAGTTTCTAAAGTGTAAATAGAGGGAACATTTTCCAGAGACATTAAGTATAACAGTTACAGAAATTTATAAATGTATTCCTAAAGATATTAAATTTGCCTAGTGAAATCTATGAATCTGTGTAAGTCCAGGAAAATAAAATAAAGAAATAAAAATACATAGATACATACATACATACATATATATATATATAAAATTCTTTACATTTACCAGCTGATGCCACCTTTGATTGTTTTTCACAGTAATACACAGTTTTCATGTCTGCAATATGGGCTACAATATTTAAAACATTAGTTGAATAGTTTAAAGAACTAATTTAATGTGAATTCTAATTGTCCTGGACTTCAAAACTGGTCCATACCATAATTTTACGTAATATTCTTTTTGCATCTCTGAATAAATGAGTGCTTGCTAATGTAAGCATGTTGGACTTATCATTAGAATTTAGTAAGATATTAAAAGCACTTGGAATTTTTTAAAACCTTACCTTTATCTTCCATTTTCATTCAAATATAAGTTTTAATACCCATCTACATTCTTTCTTTTTTCCTGTTTAACGTTATTCTTTGGTTTTACACAGCCACTGTGTGGATTTATACTGCAGAAAAGTGCAGTTTTTGTCATGAATAGTAAGTGGCTATCAAAGCCATTTAATCTTTGCAGTCATCTGTACTATTCATTTAGAAAAATGAATTTCTAATAATTGTTATTGTATTATGCATTCAAATAGTAAAGAGGATTTTCATATATGTGTTCAAATCGAACCAGTATGGTTTTTTTCTCAATTTCAGCAGAAATGCAAACAAGCCAATATATTTATCATTCAGAAGGACACAGCTAGGTTTACAGAAGAAATGTCTCTTTCTCATTTATTAGGACAGAAGAAACAATTCCTCCCTGCAGATTGACAATGTTATTCCAGTGGTAATCTTGTGTAAATGTCAGAAGCAGTTTCCTAGAAATGTGGTGTGGCTGTAAGGATTGCTGAAAATCAGAAAACCCTGCAAACCCAATCTGAACCCCTAAATATTTCCAAAGGACAAACTTCATAAGCTTTAAAAAAGTTTCAATTTTTTCCCCTAATTATTAGAGCCAGGTGAGCATGTTTTGCAGTGCTGTAAAGATACATAAGTGATCTATTTACTGCATGACATGTTGTGCTGGGAGAAGCTCTCCATGGCCAATGTAATCATGTAGAAACAAGCTGGTCCAATAGAAAATAGAACAGTGTAAGATAAAAATACACAAATACTACACAGTTGCAATCAGCACTTATTAAATAGCAAATGAAATATATTGTAACAAATTTTTCATATGTACAGAAAAAAGAGTAAACGAACAACATAAACTTAACCCATAGTAATGGAAGGTTACATCTATCTAATGGATAAATATAGCATCCAACAATTTATTTTTATTTTTTTTTTATCCCAAACATCTGTACATACAGAAATAGAGACTGTAGTAAATAAGAAGTTAATGGTGGTGAATTACAGGAATATGTTTAGCTTTTTTTTTATTTCACTAACAGTGTGATCACTGTGACCACTAATAATGCCCCACTATGGCTTGGAGTAAAACAGAAACAAAAATAGGAAGTTATAAGTACTGAATCCATGGTAAGCAAAGTGTAAAAAACCAATACCCTTAACCACTATCTTACCACTGTAAAATATAAAAGTAAATTTGTATCAAGTATGAAAGAAATATATATTCTGCATACAATAATGACTTTTTTAAAATATTTAATGTCAGAGTAGACTAGCTACATATTCTACCCTTAAATAGTTATATCCTTTTCCTATTCAATAGTATTACAGCTATCTACTTAATTATGATAGTAATTAATTTTAAAAATAATTCAACATGAAAGAACACATTGCAGGATAATTCAGATAATCTCATGATATTTAGATATCTTAAGAGAATTAATTTAATATTAATGAATAGTTGAAATTATTTTTCAGTAAAAAGTGACTGTAAATGTATTGTAATATTTTCACTTTGGTTCTTAAAGAAAAGCTCTCAGTCAGATCAATGGAAGTAATAATAGCTAACATGTTACATTGACAAAATGTCACTGAAAAGTCTTTTACTGAATGATAACACTTAAAGTTCAGCCTCCTTGTTTTATAAATTACTTTTATGTTTTACTTTTTTATAGTTCTTATACAAATAAAAGTGAAAATAACTTTGTCAGAATAAAGACAGTCAAATTAAATTTAGAAGTACTATTGACAGAATAGGAGAATTTTTATATATGTCAGAATTTTAGAGAAATTGATATCCTTAAATGGTGACGTTATACAAATTATTTAATGTGATGTTTTACTTTGTGATATATTTTTGACATAATTATAATATACAATTTAAATAGACCAAAAGCTTTTCAGAAAGAGTGCATAAAGACTTCTGAAATGAACTTCTAGAAGCTGAAAGTGTTCTTTCAATTTATTGACTTTAGTAGACTCTTAGAAATCTATAACCATGTGAGGACATTCTAAGAATAAAGTACAATTTTCATAAAAGATTATTGATTTCTTCTTAATATTTTATCAAACT